GGTGATCGGTATCGGTGGTCGGTATCGGTGATCGGCCCTCATGGGTGATCGGTATCGGTATCAGGAGGAAAAAAACCTGATCGGCACATCTCTAATAAAAACGTATCCATGTAATGAACAAAATGTCTGTCAATGCTTCCTCACATTTCAGCACGTTCTCAGTGTCAGCGGGGTCCTGCAGGATCTTGGAGAGGCCATCCAGCAACATGGCAGCCTTGCTGTAGCGGTACGCTATGTCCTCTGTTTGTTTAAACATCTCATCCAGAGCTGCAGATTGAACCTGATGCACACATCATGGACCATTAGGCTGCACCTGTATGTGACGATTCAGATCATGGAGTCATGTGAGTGTGTGGAACTCACGATCTCCACGGCGTGGTTGTAGATGAGCTTCTCTGCAGTCACGCTGTTGATCTCGTCGACAAAGCGCTGCTTGTCAGAGAAGAAGTGGTTGAGTTTGTCGGTCAGGTGTCGACAGAAGGCAATGCAGCTTTTGTAGCGCTCATTCAAACTCTTGACCACTAACAAAATGAGGAAAAGAGCTTTAGTTTTTGTATACTATGATGCTGTAAAGTAAGAGAAAAACAACAAATATGGTGCTAATGATAAGTTTAACTCTCTAAATGGAATAAAATTACATTATTAGAGATGAGGAGGGAAATGCTCCCACCTTGTTTGACAGCAGTTGAGGGATTCAGCTTGGCAGATTTGATCTGAGCCTTTGCCAGATGGAGAGAGGAAGCAAGGAGCTGAGCTGCCTTCATGTATAGCACCAACTGTTCCACCTGCCTGCAGGGGGCAGCACAGTTGCACTATGAAACAAAAGGACTCATGTGTTACCTTTTTCGTTTTTTACCCTGGGAACTTACCCCCACTCTTTACTGAGCTGGCTGATCTGGTCCATAACCACACTATCCTGAGGGGGGTACAGGGGAGCAGCAGACATGCCGAGTTCCGCCCCTCCAGCTCGGAGCGTCGCCATCTCCAGAATGCAGTCAGTGAAGGAAAGCATCATCCGAAGGTGAATCAGGGTGTCTGTGTGCTCCCGCTGAGCCAAGACAACAACATGATGCTTTAACCCAGCAGCAGAGGACCAACTCCAACGCTACCACATATGATCACAAGTTGGTCCATCGGTTTACACATTTTTCTGTTAAAAAGTTTTAGGGCCGAAACAATTAATCGGATTAATCTCAAATAATCTATGAAATAATCCTCAACTAATTCAGTAACTGATTAATCACTAACTGGAGAATACAGACACCTAAAAAAGCTATTTGATGAAACAAGGGCACTCAAATTAATTATTAGATTGTACAAAAATACATACACTTTGCATTTAAAATAGAAAAAAAACTAAATTTCTTTGAAAATATGCTTTATCCAGTTTTAGCTTTACCTCGTTCAAAATAATAGAAAAAAATCTATTAGATTCCATCTGATATCTGATATCCAATTATCAATCAGTTAATCCATTAAAATTACCAGATCAGCTTTACTCTGTACTAATGTCAAGTCAAGCAGAAAGGGCTAAGCTTTTCACATGTTGATTTTAAAAGGATTATTAGCGGCTGATGCATCCTTTGCTATAAATGATCAAGCTTTAGTCAAAGGAATGTTGTTATTGCATTTTGGGGAAGAAAATATGTTTTTTCTTATATAAAAAGAAAAGGTTTTTCTTTTGAGCAAGAAACTGCCCAAGCTGAATAACACTCAGTTCTCGTTTAAGAACTGAGTGTTACTTGTTAAACGTATTTTATATGTTTAAAAATCTTAAGTAGTTAAAGAAAAATCTGCGGAATGTGTCTTTTTTTTTTTTATCTGACTTACTCAGAATAACTCATAAAATAATCGATTGCTAAAATAATCAGTTTCAGCCCTTAACATTTTAACTTAAAACAAATTTAGATTTTGCAAACAGCATACGTCAACAGAACCAAAAATCTAGTAATGTGTCACATTCCCCATCCCCTCACCTCCATCAGGGTCTCCTCAGGCAGCTCTGGGGCTTCAAAAGTGATGAACCCCTCCATGCTGGGGGGAGACATCCCATAGGGAATGTAGCGCAGGCTGCTGGGTCCTCCATCTGCTCCCAGAACACCTTGCCCAATACCTAGACTCCCTGGTGGAGAGGAACCCATGGTCATGCCTGGGGGAGACCCCACACATACCCGACCGCTGGTGGAGCACAAGGAGCCCGCTGAACTGCTGGAGCCCACTGAGAACACAGTAAGAACTGGTATCATTAACATGCAGAACACTGCATTAATATGTGACTGCAGCTCAGCAGAGTGAGGGGTGGACTTGGAGGGGTCTCACCAGAGGTGGTGCGAGGTCTGGCACCCAGGTGGCTGCAGGTCGGAGGCGTGCTACTGCTGGGCGGTGAGCCCACGGTGAAGAGGACAGTACGGGGACTGGCTGATCCTCCTTGAGCCATGCTAGGGGCTGCAGAGACAGGAGATGAGTTAATTTACTCGCAAACAATGATGGCAGCGCCTAGCAAACATATCCACAGTCCAAACCATGATGCTTATTTTTAAACAATGTTATCTCTGAGGTACCCAGAGAACAGCTGCATTTATACTGAGATGCCATAGCTCTTTCCAGCCAGCAATCATGCAAATCAAACTTTTGAAATGATGAAGAAAAGGAAAAAAAAAGGGGGGAATGTGAATTAGGCAGTTTTCCAGCTATTGGTTTGGTGTGAATTAAGCAGGCAACACAGAGTGTGATTTTGTCAAATATTGACACTACACAACGCTGGGATTAACTAGAGGCAGAGGTTGAAAAATAGAAAGGACCAAACATCTTTGAAAAATGGAGAGTTCTCTCTCTGAGCTGGAGGTTTCATGGCTGTAGTAAGGCACAGAGCCACCAGTGGATGGAACTATTCCACCACTCCCAAACCAACCTGGAGTCCCTCTCACAGGTCACTCTAGGCAAAAGTCCTCCCCTCTGAAAGTTTCAAAGTCCAAACCTCCAACACAAGAGGTTCATCACATCTCTTAGCACATCAACTCTTAGTGAATGTAAAAGCTTTCTTGCAAAATTGAGGATATTTCAAATTTCCATAAACCTTTTCTAAGGCGATACTTCCAAATGTGCATAAAAAACCTTGATGGAAACACAACTACTGACACACATTGGGACTCTATTAGCTAACTAAGTGGTAGTCTGCTGAACTAGGTTTTATTTTGAGGGTTTCAGAGTAAAGGACAATGGTCATTATCAGATTTTAAATCTGTATGAATTGTTTGCTTTCAGGTAAAGTGAAAGGTAAGTAGTGTGGAGAGCATGCTGTGCCTGTGTACCTGTGTCCATGGGTCGCTCAGCGTTCAGGCTGTCAGTGCTGCCCTGGTAGGCCTGTCCACCCAGAGTGATCCTGATTGGTTGATCAGACAGTCGACCTGTACTGACAGACCTATGAGGAAACAGAGTTGACATACTGATGAAATGTAATAACATTAAACAGGGGCTGTAAAGATTACACAAGTCTGCTAGTCACATGTCTGCTAGAATGATGTCAATCTAAATAAACAACAGCTTGGAACAAATCAACAAATAGATTCAGGAGCTTCTGTATGCTGTCATGTAGGCCACAGAAGAACAGTTAGTGCACTAAATCTAGGGGTCATCTACCTGCCGAAGGTTCTGCTGGCCTCTGGGGGTGCCGCCCGCCCTGTCAGGTATGGGCTGCAGTGGTGGATGCAGACGTCTTGACAGTCTGCCAGTATCCTGCTAGGAAGCGGACTGTCTGCCAGCGCCATCAGGTTACAGGATGCCTGCGTTTTGGGGATCTTGAATGGTGCAGAAATTGTCTGAACACAAAATGGGGAAAAACTAATTTATTAAGTAATTTTGTTCATGGATCAAAATTACTTAATAGGATGATTAAAACATAGAGATTTGAAAATGAATGTTTTAAAAAAAAGTTTGGAGAAAGACTTCATATTTACCCAACACAAAATGGGGTGGTTCATACTGAGTATGTACAGTACAGACTGGCAAATAGGGCTGCACTGATAACTCAGCCCCTATTTCCTTAATTTAGCAAGTAAATATCAGCAGATATTTACATGTGAAGCTGATGTTATCCAGCAGGTAACTGCTCTCACCTTGGTGGGGGAACCAATGATGGTGGGCAATGGGGACTTTTGAAGCCAGTCAGACGTGCGTGGTGAAGACCCCAACAATTTGGTGGGGGAAGAGCCAAGATTGGCTGGGCGGCAAAGCTGGGGGGAATGACTGCAAGAGGATGAGGAGGAGCAAGAGGAAGGCTGCACGGGGTCAGACAGCTGCTTATGGAGCTTCTGCCTGGTCTGGTAGAAGTCGGTCAGCGTCGGGGCGCTTTGGAGACGTACTCCTAGGAGCTGAGAGGAGGGAACCGGAGAACCTGCAGAAGGCAGAGAGACCAGGTCAGGTGTATGTGGTTGAGGGAGGAATCAATAAATATGTAGTTGCATTCAGGGCGTTTTCACACCTATGCTTCATTTTAGAGGTGTGCTGATTGATCGGCCACTGATCATAATTGGCAGATTTCCATGAAAAAGTGTATGATCGGTGATCGCCGATCACTGTCTCTTGTTGCGGATCACCAAAACGATCACCTGCATCTCACTTCTCAGCCTGCGTGTGCAACTTATCTCCTCTTTCTTTCACACTTTGCAAGCGTGCAGCAACAAATCCTGTCTATAACGCTCAGAATGAATGGGGGAGTTTGCACGTTGCGGCGGAAAATTACCTCGGGGGTGAAGCACGTCAAAATGCGTTAACACAATGAATCTAATATGACATTTAAAAAACAAGCACTTGACGGAGTTTGGCTATATCGAGGCTCAATGCAGGAAAAAAGGACATCCGGAGACAGATAGCAGGTAAAGCAGCGCACTACTACAAACACTCACCCGGATCAGCATGATGGTCAGAAAGATAAACAAATAACCCGAAAAATAATTCAAGTCTTCGAGCCAGCGGTGAAAGACACTGGTTCTGTTCTCGCTGTTGGACCGCCGCTACGCACTACTGGTAGTGCGTAGCTGTTTCTGCTCCACCCGGAACGACTGCTTAAAGCCGCAGCATGTAACGTAAACAACAACAACACAGATTTCACATATTAAAACTTTTGCTATGCCCAAACATGAGAGATAATTTATGAAAACCACCATTAATCAGCCATGCTCTTAGGAAGTTTTGATTCAGTAACGTAGGATGGTTTATTTTGATGCAACTTGCATTTGACTTTGAATGAATGTTTCCCTCTTTTACTAGACATTATAGGCAGTGTTGTGAGACTTATTTTGACTCATGTATAATTTAGGGTCCAGAGAGTCTTACTGTTAAATGTTGTTTAACTGGTTGCAGATTTTTCAGTTGTTCTTTTGACTGAGTAACTGCTGTATTGTGCCTTCAAGTATGCTGCAGGCTTACATTAATTAGGTGAATATATTACCATATAATTTTTTAATTTTGCCAAATCCCATAGTATCATTTATAACTAACGCAAAAAATAAACAGTCAATCCAGGCAATCTGCAAAGATCGGTGATCGGTAGAGATTGGCCTCATGGGTGACTGGAATCAGCAGCAAAAAACCTGATCGGAACATCCCTACTTCATTTACTTTGGTCCCAATCAGTTGAGATTTTAAAGTGAAACCCACCCCTAAATCAACTATTTTGCTAATAAACTGTCTAATTATCAGAGGTTCTATCTTTATGTTTCTGTGCAAATTTTGACATTTTTGTGCAATTCTTTTAGTTCTGCATTATTTCGCCTAAAACTATTTCACTACTGGCTTCTTTGATCAAACAGTTCTCAGACAGATGAATTTTCCAAAGGTGGGCTACAGGAAAATTCAACTGCCTGAATTTTCCTACAACTTCATCACTTTGAAAAAAAGCACACTGCCTCCCCTGACCCCCTTCCACCATGTGGCGAGTCAGGAGTTAGAGTAGCAAGCGTTGCCCTGACACCTGGTGAGCATTGGTTGCAAGTGTTACTCAGCTTTACAAATGAGTGATTGATTTGCAATGCTTCTATCCAGTCAGGAGCAGGAACACATAACAGGTCAGTCGGTCGTGACTCTCCAAACACTGAGACGACCAAGTTTGTTTGACTCTAGCACTGGAGATAACCTGATGAAAAACAAGTCACTGTGACAACTGATAGAACAGCTATACTATTCATATGTCGTGTATAGTCAGACCAAAACCTCTGACTGCTGTGAAAATAATTCCAGCTCAACTGCAGGATTTTAAACTGTGGTTGGAAGGTTTGAATATCTAATGTGTCAGAGTGCAGGAACACATACGGACCTCCTGAAGAGCTGCGGCTGCGAGGCTCCTGGTTCTGCAAGTGGCAGCAGCAGTGGCCGAGCTGTTCAGGGATGGTACCCACTGCAAACACACACAGTAGCAGAATAGCTGGATTTCCTGTGTGCCTGTCTTTAAGCCTACATGACCAGAGTCAGGACCTACCTAGAGGTGAAGGGGAGTAAGGCCGAGAACTCCCAGTAGAGAGGCGCCGGCCTGCCGTCTGAGGGGTGTCCGCTGAACTGGGACACCCCGAGCCCACCTTTGGAAAGCCCATAGGACTTGTGTTGGAGCGCCTTACTGTTCCTGACCTGGAGAACCCAAACAAACATCCAGCAATAAGAGAACAAATCAACTTTCAGGGTTACTTAAAAAGTACAAGGTTTTTGCTTCATCTTTAGTAGCTTTCAAAAGTATTTACATCCATGTATGGTTGTCAACAGTATTCCTTCTTCCTGTTGCTCAAACAGCACAATCATTGATGTGTTAATCAAAGATCTATAATGAATCAAATTTATTATAGCATAAGCTAGAGACAGAAGCAGGTCACAAGAAAATGTGTAAATCATTTCTTTCCAAACTAAAGTCAGCACCACTCTCTGTAACAAACAAATCTAGGAGTACTGAGTACTGAAGTATTCAAGAAGTTCAAGAATATTTTCTGTTTAGATGGATTTGGTTAACTAATTGAAAAAGTAACTTCTATCATCAGATGTTTATCTACAGCTAGGGTAATAATGCTAGACTTACTGCCTTTTAGACACAGAATTGATTGAATCCGAGACCATCTTCTGCTCTCCAGTATCTGAAAAGTCCTAAATTCATAACTGTTTACAATTCATTACTCCATACATTTCCAGCACCAACAGTGTAGTAAAAGTATACTTTCAAAAAGCTCAGAGATCTTGCTAAATAATTCATCTTAAATAAACTGATTATTAGTTTATCTTAAACTAATAATCAGCTGCTAAAGCTATGGATGCAAAATATATTGGCACTAACATCAGTATCAGACTGATAAATAAAACTGGGCAGGTATTAAGAACTAATATTTATTTCCATCTTGTTGCTGTTTGTTTTTGGGTGGGGAGGGAAGGAGAGTGGTGTGTGTTTGATCATGTGACAGCGATGCAGAAAAGGATTGTGGGAGTCTAACTGAAAAAGAAAAGCAATGGTGAAGTTAGAAATGTGGCTGTTTTTTGTGGTCAAAGGGAAGTGAAATATAACGTAATATCAATAAATATCAGCCGAAATTTTTATATGAGTGTACCCCCAATTAAAAACACACACAGCTGGAGACCAGAAGCTATTCTTCAGGATCAAACCCTCATAGAAACATTAGACTCCAGTCTTCAGACTGACGAACAGAAGAGATCTAATAATTAAACCAGCTACCAAAACATAGTTTTACCTTCAATAAACCTTTCAGTGTTGACAGTAAAAATAATGTCATCCATTAAAAATCAGGTGCTACCCATTAGCCATCTCTACCTGTATTTAGTCCCATAATAATACCAGCCATGGTTCCTCCCAGCAACAGCTTGGGCAGTTAGAAATATAAGCAGGCATCGAGTTGATGCCATTTCAGTGAACTGATGCAACAATAGTCGGTGTTTTCATTATCTGCTATGAACATGGATTTGGTTAATCCATGTTCATGTAACCCACTCCTCCCACAGCAGGCACAGCTTACCTGGGGGAGCTGTAGAGAGTGGGACTCGGGCTGCTGGACAGGTTCTGCTTGATCCGCTGGTAGTTCCGCACCTGGGTGGGGACAGGAATAGGCGTGGTCTCTGCCCGCGGTGACAGCATGATGGTCTGTCCTGGGGTGGGCTGAGGCTGCCTGGGTGGGGACAGCAGAGAAGACACTGAGACCAGACATCCAGCATTAGGCTACTGATTCCACATAGGAAGAACGTTCTCAGGGCCATCCAGACCCATAATAAGAGAAGTCAGTTAGAAAACCACAGCTGATGGGAGACGAGTCCAGTCTGCTGAACTCTGTTTCTCCGCTCACCGCTCTTTGTTTGAGCAGCCTGGAAAATGCTGAAAAACTTCAACACTTGGAGAACAAAAACATGACTGGACTTCCCTGTAAACAAGGCTAAACAACCAATGAGCCTGGAGCACATCCTGCTGAAGGCGGTGCTAGAGGCACGTGTTGCAGCGGGGCTCAGTGTTATCAAACACAGGAGGGGAAGTGCATAAGGGCACAGTTCCTTTACATTTTTTGTTATTCCAGAGGAGGCAGAATGTTCAGAATGTTTGCCATGACCGAGTGACCCGATAGAATTCTGTCTGCATGTAGAAGAAGGACCATGGCAGGAGGAGCAGAATAGACTAGAGGGAAACAGCACTGTGGAAACCTAGGAGGGTCGTAGGTCTTAGAAAGCCAGACATGTGAGGAGAGGACAAGTCCAGACAAAAAAACCACTGAGGCAGCAGCCTCCTGCTCCTCACCCTCCTCCTGCTCACATGACTAGATCTGAGATCTAAACATCACCATGTCCCATCCTGCTTTTCCTCCTCCTCCTTCACACTCCAATAACAATCAGATGTCTACTAACTTTATTGATCCCAGTGAGGGAGGGGGCAGCTGCATGCTGAAGAGAGGAAGGAAATGTGTAAATCTGTCTATATAAAGTGAAACAAGAAGAAGAAGCTGCCAGTCATCTACCTGTTAACCAAGCAGACCAGCAGAGGGGGCTGGGATCCAACTGAGCTACAGAACCTTGTCACTTCTCTTAGCCCTTAGGAAACCACCCACACCCACCTCTAATCCCAAACCCTATAGAACATGAACATAAACACTTCCACAAAAACAGGAGCACAGCATTACTACCATCAATAAATCTTAACAGGCAACTCTGATATTTTTGGAACTGTATCTCTCAGTGTTAATAGTTAGCTAATTTATGCAACAGTTGATTACATACAGGAATCAGGCAGTACAGAGACAGATATTACAGAAACAAATGGCTGCAGCAGGAGGGGGCAAACAATGGCACAGAAACAGAGCAACAACAAAAAGAATTCACACTTCCTGAACTTTTCCACATGTTTGGCTTGTTGCATGTCAACGAGCCAAATACAGAGGAGTGTAATAATCTAGCATAATAAACATGCTAGTTATCCCCCTGAAAGACTAAAACTTTAAACTTGTACAGAACACTGAAACTGGAAGATATTTTAAATATCCAAAACAAAACAAGCAAAAACAATAAATAAAAAACAACTGAAACCAGAAATAAAATGGATGACGATGCCTTTAACCAAAATTGCCCTGCAAAAATAATCAGAATGGAAATTACACAGCTCATTTAAATTCATTATGTGATTAAAAGCTTATTGCGACAGGCTTAGCTCTGGATTCCTTTTCATATCCCTAAAACTATTATTACAACCAGTTGTTTTCATAAATCCCCAATTAAACAGATTCCTCAGCCGCTATGTGGAGGTCTCAGATTTCCTCTGTTTACTAATACTCTACAGCAAAGTTTCCATCAACATTACATTCAAAACATTATTAGACAGCAGAACTGAGTAAAGCAGATGGTCTCCATCCAATCTGCTCCGCTCCGCGGCCAGCAGTGCACTCCACAGAACTGGTTTATATATTAACAGTGGCAGTAGAAATCCTCTTTAGCGCCGACGACAAGGAATATGGAGACACTTCAAACGAGCTGGAGGTGATGTTCTGGTCAGAATTAGCCTACACACACACACACACACACGCGCACGCACACACAGTGGAGAAAAAAAATGAACACCCTGAACATCACCCTGAACACAGCATCCCCATCATGAAACACGATAGTGGTGGGATCATACTGTCGGGATGCTGTCCTTCAGCACTGAGAAGCTGGACAACATTTTACCATCCAGCGCAACACATTCAGAAGACCTGTGTCTGGGGCTGCACCCATCGGAGGCGCTAAAAAGGTATCTAGATTAGGGCTGAAATTATTAGAACAATCATAATTAATCAATTATTGAAATAGTCAATTTTGTAATATATTAATTAAGTGATTTGCCGTTAGATTAAAGAACACATTGAGAGCAGTAATTAAATCAAAACAGTTTTATATATATACATATGCAGAGGCAGTTAGATGACCAACTGCATCTATTCTAATGACCAACTGCATCTATTCTAATGAAAAACTGGTGTGTCAGATTAACATCCAGACATTAGAGGAACAGTCACTGTTTGCTGATGCAGAGGATGATCTGGTAGGTGTGTGAAGCTATTTTTATTCATGCAGTTCTCCGGTGGTTGGGTGGTTGGTTGAGTGGTGGTGTTTTTAGCACATCACCACTTAGTTTTTTGGCTCCGTGTCTGATTTGTGTCTGACTCATCATGCAGATATTAACATGCGTATTCACCAGCGGCATGCATGAGACATCATCCCAGGCTGGAAGGAGGTTATTTTTCTTGGGATGACGTGATTGAAAAACAAAGACAGACTGGTTGACCCAGAAATATTACAATAACAACATTACATGGATGTGAACTGAAGGTTGAACGCAAATGAAATCTGGTGACATTACGCCATGTAACACTAATGACACCAAGAAATGCCTTTATGTGTGTGTTGCATAACGCAAAATATGCAGCATCACGACATCCTGGTTTGTTCTTTGGCTGTTTAATAATTGCAAATTATAAACGTTACCTGTTTTTAAAGATCTGAACATAATCTCAGGAGGATTTGAACTTCAACAGCCAGCATGATTTTTTATTATGCATGCTGAATGTTTAAGATCAATTCCAAACACAAATTAAAAAACAAAAAAAAAAATCAGCCTGACATCTAAAACACATGGAAATTCAAACAATTAGAAGTCTGAAAGTAACATGAAGAGGTAAAAATATGAACGTAAACTAAGCATATTTCTAATCTGAAATAAAATGACACATTCAGGAAAACAGATTAAAATTTTTTTTTACCATCCTCATAAAAGCTTTTGGTTAAAATCAACTCTTATGCTAAAACAAATTAACATAAGTCTTGTGTAATGTGCTAAAGTCTCATACTCACCCTGCACACATAAGAAAGTCATTGGACGGTCGGTGACCGGCTCCTACTGGGTGGTCGTCTATGGGGGAAGACAAAAACAGTTGAGTATAGAAGTCAGAAGTCTGCAGCATTTAATGAGGACAAAGAGGAGAACATAAACTAGATCTTTAAATTCACTGCCAACACCATGCTCCTGCTCTACCTTGGAGCACTCTTCATTGTTTGCTGA